AATTTTTTTTTAAACAGATGATCTTGTGGAACATACTTTGGTAAATGCTGTTAGAGACTCCTTTATTTATTTGTTAAATATCTGAGCCAACACTCATCTGAAAGTTCCAGACACAGCAGACAGCATGAAAATAGAAATGAAGCATTACTATTTGTTTTTGTTTTTGTTTTTTTAGCATTACTATTTGAAAGGAAACAAAATCTATCTTTTCTACAGACTGGATGATTATATACCTAAAAGATGAAAAGGAATCAAGTCTAAGAGATACTAGTAGTTATTGGATTTAGAATTAATAAAGTAGTTCAGAAAGGTAAAAACTGCTTAAAAAGCTGAATATATAAAAAGCAATTGCTAGAAACCAGGAGCAAAAACATGATGCGGGAAAAAAATTCCCTTTCACAGCACCAACAAATGTATAAAAGCTTAATACAGACTACAATATTTATAACTACTGTGAACGATTGTAGAACCTGGGAGAGAGTAGATAATTCAATATTTGAGGGGGGAAGGATTAGCTCCAAACCTCACACACACACTATATGTGTATATATATATATATATATATATATATATATATATATATATACACACACACACTCATTCTAAAGAGATTCAGTACATAAAGACCAATAAAACCAAATAAGTATACCACACGAAAATATTGATGGCTATTAGCTGTAGGATTAGGATGGTCTAAACAAATACATCTATAGATAGATATGTGTATATATGTGTTTGGGGGTGGTGTGTGTGTGATGTGTGTATATAGCATTATCAGAAAACTTCCTTTGCATAATGAAAAGTCAAGGTATTTCTAAACCAAAGCATCACAAAAAATTATAAATAACCATCTGGGAAAATATTTATAATCAATGTAAAATAACATCTAATAGTAATACCAAAATATAGTCAAAGAACATGACTAAAATGAAATAAAAATGCTCAACAAATATATACATGGTTTAGTAAACATTTCCAGCAATATCTTACAAGAACAAGTTACTAGTTTACCTACTAAAATGGAAAAGGTTACTCTCTAGATTAAAATTTCCTTTGCTGGCATGTGTTCCAGTTGGCTCTCTTATATACCAATGCTAGAAGTGTACCTTGGTGCAATCTTTCTTGAATGCCATTCTTTAGAGTGTTTCTAGAGGCTAAAGAATTTGACTCATTGACCTAGTTTTTAATTTCTTGGAAACTATTCCAAGGTAGAGCTATGAGGATTAACAAGCAAAGATTTTCATTGCAGCATTATTTATAAAAGAAAGTATGAAGCAACTTAAATGTGTTTAGGGCAATGGACTATTAAGCAGCTCTAAAGTAATTTTAAAAAGAATTTTTGATAATACTGGGACGTGGCATAACATGCTGAGGAGATTAAAAACAAAACACTAAAATCCAATATTATATTAAAACATGCTAGAAATATATACACACAGAGAGATTAAGAATTGGTAATACCAAATGTTTGAAAATTACAAAATATTATTCAGTGTTATCTCATCAAATACTTTTTCTTCTTTAATTTTCTATATTACTACATATATTAATTTTATAATAATAAAGATCTTAAGGGGCCTCCCTGGTGGCGCCAAGGGTCCAGATGCAGCACCCTGGGGTGCAAGGGGTTAAGCACAGCAAAGCTATCCACAGCCACTGCAGCACAAGTTCTATCCCGGGACAGGGAGGTGACCCACATGGTGCAGCAGACTCTCCTGTCTCACCCGTTGCTCCCCTCAGCAGTGTCTTTCAGTAGATTTGCCTGTCCTGCTCCCCACTCTGTCTCTGGTGAATCCTCTCACCCCCGCACCTCTAGCCTGCACCCCAGCTCTTGTATGCATAAAAAAATAAATCTCTAAAAAAATAATAAATATCTTTAGCTAAAGATAATGAGTCTTCCATCAATCTAAGGATAATGGGACCTCTCTTCTATAGGTAAACAGGGCCATCTTAGGTTATTCCGGTTTTGAATTGCTGCATTTAAGATGATGCCATTCACATACAGACATATTATATAGGGACTGGAAATGCTTGGCTTTCTAGTATGCAGCATGGCAGAGATTCTTACCTAAAGCTAACTGGAGTTTATACTCATGAACATACTTGGATTATCTCTCATCACATATTTAGTAACACACATGGAGGAGAGTTGTTCACTGCCCCTTCAGTCCCTTGGACATTTTGTCTCGCTCCCTTATCACTCTGAGAGGCCTGATTCCTACTTCAAACTTGACACAGTTCCTTCATCTAGAGGACATGGTCCATTATTGAAAGTCTCTTTTCCTAGGATATTTGATTTTCACTAAGGTTCCTTTGTCAACCATCTTACTAGAAAAGACTCAGGCAGAAGAACTTTAGTTTTCCCTAAGACAGAGTAGCAAAGCATATGGGGACAAATTGTAAAAAAGTGATTCTGACATTTAAGCTACACCTATATTAAGATCAGTATTTAGTATTCCATGATATACCAAAATACAGGTATGTTTTAATTTGGTGTCATATTTACAATAAGTCAAAGATGGGTTTTGTATCGTCAAAGGTGATGCAACAATCTTTAAGGTTTAAACAAGGGTATGAACCTTTCAGATGGTAATGGAAAGAAAAATAAATGAAGAAAGGGAGGTATGTGGAGGAATCTTTAGGCTGGGGAATAGCCAGAGAGAGAAAGAAGCCTGCTTCATCAAACTATCAGGTAAGGGCAAAGTTCTGTGCGGAAAGCAGAAATAGGAAGGTATGAGATGCCGAAAATTAGGGACTGACAAAAAACACTGGAAGAGCTGGAGAAGCAAAGGTCAGGTACTTCTGGAGCTATAGTTTTCCAGAGCACACTGACGCCGATTTGAAAGCACTTTTGCGTTCTCACTGCTAATACTCACTCTCCTGATCTCCAAGAGGCTAATAAGACTGAGGAATAGAGTGAGCATGCTAAGCAAAAAGGACAGCAGGAAGACGGCCTCTGCTTCATTTCCAGCTAATTAACTTTGGTTCTGTCTCTGTTTATATTATTGTTTCTATGGAAAAGTGCACTTTAAATTCTAAATAACTCATTTATGAACCAAGTTTTCAAAAATATTCCATTTGTAATCTGCAATCTGCGTGTCCTTAAAACAACATAACACAAGCACTACCTTCCTAAAGGGAAATCCAACTCCAATTCCTTAGGGCATGTCTTGCAGTTGTTAATTTCATTTCTTTCTCCCTCAAAATATTTTTATCTGTTATTATCTCTGCTGCCATGGCAAGGCAGTGAATAAAATTTTAAAGTTTCATCTGTAGCACTTGAAAAATAGTAAGAAAACAAGTGTTTGTGATAATATCACCTAGAAATAATTTGTCACAAAAGGTAGCTTCTTACACCAATAAGTTATTCCAGTTTGTTTGCTGTTGCTTATTTTTGGTTTCTTTATAAGAATTTCTTCCTTGGTGCTGACATAGAAAAAAAATATGCCTATCTCAGGTATAGTTTTCACTGTGTATGTAGGCTTAGTGTACATAAATAATTAGTTGTGATAAAAATAACATTTTCAGAGGAGTACAGGAAAATTAATTTCAATGACACGCAATGACATTGCCAGAAGCAGGTGTAGAAAGTGATAAGTTTTCTAGGATATGTTTCATTGCTTGCTTATTCGTTCTCTCATCTTTTTTTCTTGTAACAAATAATTTGAGTAAAGCCAGAACTACTAACTGATGCAAGATACACAGAAACTTAAGTGAACTATTTTACACACTCCCTTTGGCTATTGGAAAAGTTACTTTGGGAAACTCAACTCAAATTACCCCCTTTTCACCCCTCCGCGAAAAGGAGGTTCCTGTTGCTATTTCCTTCAGTTTTTCAGTCGAACTACAGTAAAAACTGAGGTACTGCGTCACAGTGCTGTTACTGGGAAAACACCACCAGGAAAGGAATCGGCAAGATCTCCTCGCTACCCATTATGTGCTTTAGCCCCCAGCTCTTATACTATCCAAAGGATGAAAACTTACACTTTCACAGGGTGCGCAAACCTAATACTGAGGTGTAGTTTGTGTGGGCTGCACATGATTTACTTGTTTCCTAAAAAAAAAATGTTGAAATACAAGCTCTCCCATTTTCTCTATTAATGCATTTAGTAAAAAATATTGGAGTCTGTGAAATGTGACAGAAAGGAGAGATGGAGCAAGAGCATGAGCGGAGACAAGGAGCAACTGATCATCCCAGCAGCAGAGGCTACAGAAAAGGCAATCGGTCATTTACATCCCAGCTCCTTGGTGTGATTCACGGCAAGGGTAATTCTGGCTGTCGAATTACTGTAACTGCGGGTGAAAATTCATCCGCATGTAATTCAATATCTTGTAGTAAGCTGCTTGCCTTCTCCAAGACACGGTTGTGTGCCAGTGTCGAGCATCTCCCTCTCTCCAGTGACAGCCAATTCAGAGTTTCCAAACCCCCAACTTCTCTCCCCTTACTGTGGTTGGCCTTTCGCCCTCCTGTCCGTCCCGTACAGCCGCAAGCAGTGGTCGTGCTTTTGCACTCTGAGGGTGAAGTTTTGCTCTCCTCTGTGGCCGTGCAATAGTTTGTGGTCCCAGCCCAGGCCGCTGCCGAGCCCCGGCGCCTGCACCTGCTGGACCCGGGCCGCGGCCTGAGGAACACACCCGGCTCGCGCGCCCAGGTGCGCGTCCAGAGGCGCAAGATGGAGGGCGGCGGGGCGCAGCTGCCCCCCAAAACACGGCCGGCGGGGCCCGACTGGAAGTTGGAAACACGTGCTGACACGGCGGGCTGCGGGCGAGGGACCGTTAAGGAGGACGCGGCCCCCGCCCTGGCCCTGCCCTGCCCGGCCCGGCCCGGCCCGGCCCGCCCTGCCCGGCGGCGGGAGAGCGCGCCCCCCCGGCCCCCCCGAACCCGCCCGCCCGCCCGCCCGCCCGGCGCCAACCGCCGCCCGCGCCCCGCTCACCTGCCCCCCGCTCACCTGCCCGCGCCCGCTCACCTGCGCCCCGCGCCCGCTCACCTGCGCCCCGCTCACCTGCTCGCGCCGGTCCTGCGGCCGCCGCCCGCGCCGCCGCGGACTCGCCCCGGACTCGCGCTCCGGCCCCGCCGCCCGCGCGGCCCCGTCCTCCTCGCGCTCCCCGCCGCCGCCGCCGCCCCGGAGCAGCTCCCCGGCCGAGCACATCCCGCCGGCCGCCGGGGCGCCCGCCCGAGGCCGCTGGCACCGTCCGCGCCGGCCGCTGTCAGGAGCCGCCCCGCGCCCGCCGGCCGCGGCCCCAGAAGTACCCGCCGCGCGCCCCGCCTGTCACCGCTCGCCCCGCCCCGGGGGCGCGGCCAGGGCGGGCGGGGCGGGCGGAGGCGCGAGGGCGTGCCCGCGTGAGCGCGCCCGCGGGGGCGGAGGCGCGAGGGGCGTGCCCGCGTGAGCGCCCGCGGCGGGGCTGAGGCGCGTGCGCGGGGAGACGCCGCGTGCGCGACGGGCCGGCGGCCTGTGCGCGCGCGCGCGAGGCTGTGTGGGTGTCCGAGGTGCGTCTCCGAGGTCGTGGGTGTCGGCGTGTGTGACAGGCAGCGACCCCCAACCCCCGCCCCCCACACAGCGGAGCGCCCCGGGGGGTCCCGCTGCTGCTGCGGGCCCGGGGGCGGCCGCGCCGGGCCGTGGGGTGGCGCCCCCCTGGCGGGGCCGGCGTCTCGCAGCGCGGGGTCCCCCGTCCGGCAGCGCCTCGGGCGGGCGGGGGCGCCCCGGCGCAGGTGTGCGGAGGCCCCCGTCTGTCCCTCCCCGGGCGGGGACCCTCTGGTTGTCACTCTCCACCACCGGTGAGGTGGCTGGTCAGGAGAAGCGCGTCGTCCCCATCCCCGCCCCGGCGCGGGACCCGCAGAGTGTCCCGGGACCTGCCGTGGGGGTGGCAGGGTCTCTGGAGTCGGCGGGTTGGAGCGCGGGGTCCTGGGGTTCAGCCTGAAAGGCGGCACCAGAGCTCCCGTGTCGGCAGCACAGGCGAGTTTCTCCACGGCACGGAGACTTAGTTATATTTCAAGAGCAGGTTTACTAGGAAAGGGACAGAAGAGTAAGACACCGGCGGGCAGGAGGGGCTGCCCCAAAGGCGCAGGTTTGCGGAGAGAGGCCCGCGGGGCTGCAGGCGGGCGGCCTTGAGGGAGGCCAGTGAGGAGAAGCCCGGGCAGGTGCAGGTCACAGGTGGGCAGGAGGCTGAGAGTTGGTGAAAGGAAGCACCTGCATAGTCACAGGTGGGCAGCGGGAGTGCTGCCCGGCTGTGGGGGCAGCGGAGGGGCTCCTCTTTGTGGGTGGATGGTTTGTGCTCCTGGCACTCCCTGTAGCCGTTTGATAGTTCCTGGGAGTTGTGCCTCTGGATCTGGGCGTTGATGCCTCAGGGTCTTGGTTTTTACGACTGGGTTACTGGCTAATCCCCTCTGCCCCTGCCTCCACGGGTGATCCTCCTGTGAGTTAGCTTCTTGACCTTGTATCTCCTTTCCAGTTTTGCTGTTCTTACCCTTCAGCACTGGGAGGTGACTTTGGGTGTCCCAGGTGACCAGGCGATCCCAGGTGATCGCAGCTGCTGGTGAAAAGTACATGTCAGAATACTCTATCCATTTTGTTAAAGGGACGTTGACGTGTACTTATCAAAATTTTCTTATGTGTATTTTTTTTTAAGATTTATTTATGCGTACAAGAGCTGGGGTATAGGCCAGAGGCGTAGGGGGGGTGAGAGGGATTCACCACAGAGAGAGTGGGGAGCAGAACAAGCAGATTGAATGAAACACCCTGCTGAAGGGGGCAGCTGGCGAGACAGGAGAGGTCTGCCATGCCATGTGGGCAGCTCCCTGGCCAGCTGGGGATCGAACTTGTGCTGCAGAGGCTGTAGGCAGCCTCACAGTGCTGTGCCCAACACTTTGCACCACGGCTAGTCCCTATTTTATGTGTATTTTGAGACAGTATAAACTACCATATAGATCAAACATCAGGTTATATGTTGCCTTGGGGTGGAGAAGGGAAAGAGGTATTTGGGATCTTCTGTTAAAATGTCTTTCAGCTCCAAGAGGGAATTAAAGTAGACAGGAAGTTAGTCTTATCTCAAAGACCTGTTTCCCACTTTCCATAGGTAGGACTATAGAAACTAGAAAATAAGCCTTTGGATGCACACATCAGAAAGTGAACCTGGTTGATTTCCTTTTCACAAAAGGATTTGAAAGCCAAGAAAAAACTGCTTAATATTTTGTATGTAATCAGAAACAAACTTCACTGTGGAAAGCCCAAAATACATCCTCACGATTCCTTTTCTCTAATGGCAGTGTTTTCATTCTTAAAATTTTGCCTTTGCTCTTTAGTAGTGCTTCTTATAAAAAGCTGACCTTAAAGATTTAAAAAAATAAAACTTTAGGATTTTATATATAGTGCCACAGAGAACACCAACCTTTTACTGACAAATCTGTGAAACATAAGGCACATTTTGAAGGTCTCCCTCTTTGTGTTGGTAATTTCATAAGTCAAGCAGCTATATACTCCAGTCAGGCTACAGGGTGCACAGAAATGCCTTGTGTGTGTGTGTGTGTGTATATATATATATATATAGGGACTCAGCAGGCTCAGAATGTATATGGTAGGGGCAGGAAACAGAGTAATAGGGAGCTGAACTGTTCAACATAAGAGGCAAGTCTTACAGAAGTCCTTTAGTCTAGAATATACGCACTGGGCTTTTGGAGATTCAGGCTTCTTCATTCCTTAAGAAGTATATTCATTCAATCCTTTAGCAGGAATTTATCAAACATCAGTAGGCATTAGGCCCAGGTTAGCTCCCTACTGGCATGAAGCCTCCATTTTCTTTTTGTTGTGATTCAAGTCCGCTTCTCCTGGCAAAATCCAAGAGCTTTCAGTAGAGGGTGGCCAGAATCCTCTGATCCCTACCTAGCACTGATGTCGGAACCTTTTCTTTTTCTTAGTGTTGTCAGCCTTTCATTCAGTGAGTGAATTTCTCTTTGAACTGTTATACTTTTGTTCATAGAGATGTGGTTTTTTCCTGGAGATTTAGGAATCACTCTATTAAAGAAAAAAAACCACCAGTAGAAGCATTTTACTAAAAAGACATTGTTCAGATTGTATTACAGATAACACACGTTAAAACACATTTTATGGGAGGGAGAGAAGGGATATATTTAGCTTGCTATGCAATATGAATACATATGAACACACGAAGAGAGAGTGAGCGGCACTATTACTGTCAATTTCCCATGGGAAATATAAGATTGTTACTTCCAAGTAACATGTTAGTGTTTTCAATTTTATGTCATTTACTTGTGATTTTTATTAGTCTAGTTACCTCGTGTTTTCCCAGGAATTAGTAAGTGGCAAGAGACAGATCCATGTCTAAGGTGTGGCCTGTGTAGTGCAAATGTGTCTTGTGCTGTTGCTGTGAGAACAAGAACTTTCAATCTCTCATGTTTAGTACCTTTTATATTTCTTATTTGAAATATTTTCCACCCTTATTTGTACATCCTTCCAGAGGGAAAAATGAACAAATCAGTATGATCTTTACTCATTTAGTCACACAATCTTAGAAAAAGAATTGCTATTATTTGTAGAAACTATACCAAATTTCATTTTTCATTTTACTTTTGGGGTACTCTGACATTTTATAATATGCATCCTCTGTTTTCATTTTTTGCTTCTCATCTGATATTTTATCTGGTTTCTTCATGGTTATCAGAATTTCAGTATGAGGAATAATTTTGAGATGTTTAGAATCTTTACCAAGATCCCAGAAATAACTGGTTATTTAGGTGAATTTAAAAGAAAAGGAACTTACTGGATAACCCTCCCTCCCTTTAGTGTTCCCTCAGTTTAAGGAAGCTGAATCAGAGTTACTACACTAACGTTCTCCTAGTGTTGTCCAGCATTCCCAAAGAGTTCATTCTGAGTGAGAGAAGGAGAACTCTATCCTTCTTCTTGGAATTAGTTTTTATCTTCTCTGTTGTTAGAGACCAAAATTCAGCTCCATTAACTGAAGATCTCATTGGCAGATAGAAATCAATTCCAAAATGTTGTGCAATTTGAGAGGGTTTCACAGACCAAAGTGGGCAGGCATAAAGAAGTTATACTGGGTATTTTCTGACTAGTTAAAGAAGCTGAAAGCTTAATTCCCTTATGTTAGCAAATGGAAGTCTTGGAGCGGGGTCAGGTAACTCTTGCTGGGCAGGAAAATGCTGATTGATTTTAGCCTTTTTTTTTTTTTCCTTGGTAAGCAGCAAACAGACATTTAGCTAAGTTTTAGGTTGAGACGTGGAGCTTAGCATGAACATCTCCATCTTGGATCTAATCTCATTACTTTAATACTGCTTTATTTTCTCTCCCTGGTGAGATGTCTTTGCATGTACAATGCTGAGTTCTCTCATTATAGTAGGAATGCGAGTTGTTTTCTGTATATTAAAAAATAGAATTGGCCCTCCCTGCTGGCACAGGGGATAAAGTCTCCACGCTATCACACTATCGTTAGCCACTGGGGCCTGAGTTTGATTCCCTGCCAGGGAGCTGACCCACATGGCATGGCAGACCTCTCCTGTCTTGCACTCTACTCCCCTCAGCACTGTATTTCAGTAGATCCCCCTGTTCTGCTCCCTACTCTGTGTCTGGTGACAGAGTACCTGCACCTGTCACTCTGGTGACCTACACCTCTGGCCAACACCCCAGTTCTTGTATGCATAAATAAATAAAAATAAATCTTACAGTAAATTAATCAAAAGTTGAATTGAGAAGGCAGTTCAAACTCAGTAAAGAAAAAATGGAAATATAATTATAAAATGCCATTTAATATATGTTAGCAATTTAAAAATTGCTAAATTGAGCATACTTAACATGGACAATGCCTTGGGGAAATGGAAACTAAGTTTTTGTTAGTGGTGCTGCAAAGTGATTGCATTCTTTTGGCAGCACATATTCAGAACCACAAAAATATCCATACCCTTTAGCCCATTTTTCCCAGACCTAGGAAAAAATTCCAAAGTGGGGAAAAGCTATTTGTATAAAGATGTTTAAGGCAAAACTACAGTGAAAAACTGAAAGAAGCATAATGGCCAGCATGGAAACGGCTCAGTAAACTATGCATATGAGCACAGTTAAATGCATAAAACCCGAACACAGTAATGATGCAAATGTTGTGCCAGTGATGTAGACATATTTACTGT